CCCAGCAACCTCCCCCCCCCCAAAACACACCCCCCCCCCCCCCCCCCCCCCACAAAAATTTACCCCCCCCCCCCCAGCTCCCCCCCCCCGGGGGTTTTTTTTTGGGGGGGGGGGGGGGTAGTTTAAATAGATGGCAGAATAATTTATAATTATCTGTTTTTTTTACCACTAACAGAGCTATTGTTACGATTAGGCATGTTTTAAAAGAGTTAATAAGTGTTAGAAACTTATGTGTTTAAGGAACGAAACATGCTTTTTCGACTCGTGAATGTACATATTCATTTTTCTTTCAGAATGATGTTGTGCTCAATGTTTTCAATACGATTAGTCTGTCTGTAATATCCTGGTGATTTCAATCAATGATAACAATGTTTACGAGTGTTTGCCATCAAATATTGTTACAAAGTTCGCCGTTTCATGATTCTACGAAAAAACCATTGAGTACATTATTAAATGATATGACACGTTATGTAGCCACATATAATTTAGAAGCCGATGATGAATCAATTGTATTTGGGTAAGCAAACAAACAACAGAATATTTGAGATTTTCTTTTTCATTTCTTTTCTTTTTTTAGCCTTCAACTTCTTCTATTAAATGACAATGAAAGAATAAGGGCGGCAGCATTACGAGCATTTCGTTACTCTATTCATCGTTTAATTATACTCGAAAAATTTCTTGAATATCGGCTTGATTATCTTGTAGTTCGGTAAGTGATTTTGGCATTTTTTGGTCTTATTTCAGTAAATTTTTGACTTATTTGTGTATGTTTAGTTCATTAATAATTGATTCACGTCAGCCATCTGGTCGTGATAGTCGTGAACGTTTAGAATCATACAAATTAGTTCGTCGTCTATTTCATTTATATCCTGCTCGTTTTCCTATTTCGTTCATTTATGCTATCGATTCCATAATCAATTATTCTAGTCAGACCAGTGATAATAGAAAGAACAAAACAAATGTCCAATTACAACAACAACCAGTGATACGGCCAGATCAATTGGTTAAATGTTGTCTTGAACTTTTATGTGAAATAGGTAAAGTGGTTGCTGAAAAATAATAGTGTGCTAATAATCGACTTTTTCTCTTTTTACATTTTAGCCCTTCATAATCCTTATATATTACATGAATGCAGTACATTTCATACAATGTTACGCTATATTACAGATTACGAACAAGAAGAATTAATTGAAAGTGTTATCTATTCTGTATTACATGCTGTTGACAGATTCAGTAAGTATATTGATTGTTTTTCCTTGAAAATTTGTACTGAAAACATCTTGTTCTTGTTATAAATTATGAGCTTGCATTCTATATCTCATACACAATATGTTTTAGGTATTAATGATAATAGTGAGCCAACAGTAGTCGAATCGATGGATCTCTCAATGCAAGGTCCAGGATTGATATTCGTTGACGAAGGAATGCAAAAACGACATGAGCTAATTAAAAATATATTTAGTGTAAGAATTGTCTATTTCTTCTTCGAATTTTTTTTTCTTAATAATTATTCTTTCTTTTCTGGCTTAGGAACTTGTTGCCGTGTTTTCATTGTGCGAAAAAGGTGTGTTAAAAACAGCCGATAGACGAGGAATGACACCCACAATGTGAGTATACTACCATTTGTATGCTACTTTTTATTCTTCATGTATTTGTTTTTTATCTTTTACAGGCATGAAAATTTGAAGTTTAAAGAAGTCGACAAAAATCAACAATTGAAATCGTGTAGCACAGCATTAAAAACTGTACTAAGAAGTTGGATAGGTAAAATTCACTTAATTCATAATCGCTGTACAACTGTATCTAATATAAATATATTTTTAGGTTTTACGGCGTTTTGTCAACCAAGTAATTCATCAGTTCGATTGCTAGTGAATTGTCTATTAGTGCAATCAGAACCTATGAAGGTTTGAAAAAATTATTTATAACGTTTTTTCTTTTCATCAAGAATCTTTTTCTCATTTTAGATGTGTATTATCGATTTATTTTATGATTTATTAAATCTCGATATGTATGCAATATACTTAAGTTTATTTTTTTTCTCTTATTTTGTTTGTGTCACATATTTTGTTTCTGATTAGTCCGTCCGTTTGCGATAATTATGAATCGGCCTTATCATCAATGTGTAAGTGATCAACAAGTCTTTTAGAATAAAGTTGAAATAAAAGACGCATCCAAAAGTTTAGACTTGATTGTAATATTTCTATAACACCACTATTGATGTTATTTAGATCAAGTATATAATTTAACAAATGCCGAAGAAGGCTTTACTTATGTTGCCATGGAAGGTGCATGCAAATTACCACGCTTATCATCTACACGGTACATTAACTATTCTCTAACTAGCTTTTCTCTTTATTTAATGATAATTTTGAGTTTATTGGACAAGAAGGTAAAGACTCTTTCTATTTCAGACTACCAGTTGTATCTTGTACTTTTAGTTTTTTTTAAAGTTAACTTAAGACTCTTCTTACTCAGTCTAAATCTGGCGTTTTGAGATATATACTTTGACATGAAAAATGTTCGGTAAACTTTTTTGATTGTACAGATGAAAGAAATAGAATGCCACTTTACTTCTGCTAATAATATCCTGTTGTTTTCTTTTCGTTAGAGCCAGTGACGAGTAGTTATGTTTTAATTATTTTCTTTCATCTACTTTCATTTCTTTATGTGTGGTGGTGTGTTCTTAGAAAATTGTGATTATGGAGTGGTGTAGCGGTATTTATTTGCTACAAAAAGTTTAGGACCTATTACTATGAAAGCGTGTGCGTTTGATTTTTCTCCCCAACTCCTTTACTTAGAAGAGAGAGTAAATAATTTTGACAGTAACCTTGATGTGAAATGTTGTTTGTTTTTAAAAGCAACTTCTTTTCTTTCTGCTTGTGATATCTATTTCTAAATTCATCTAACTTCTACTAAAATCTTATTGTTTAGACCGAATCTGCTTGACAGCCATATGGCTCTTATGCTATTAACATTCATTGATGCTGGCTTTATTGAGGTAAAATAAGTAACACATGCCATTTTTTCATTTCTTAATAATCTTACTCAATAAAATCATTACAAATAATCCTTCTACTACTTCTTACTTTTTCATACTCATTTTAGGCCATTAGTGAAATTGCGTCGAGTGACAATACAATTTTAGCAGTTCGAAGCACATTGTTAATGGCAAATTTTATATGGCTTGTAAATTTGTAAATCAAAAGCATTGAATATTGAGAAATTGATTATTTTATTTTGCTTTAGTGTAATGAACATCTACCAGAAGAACAAAGTTTTCTTTTATTACCGTTAATTATGGATATTGCGATTGCTGATGATGATAGTATTAAACGAAGGTAATTTTATTCTGTTTCCATCTAATGTTACGTTTATTAACGAGTAAAAATTTTAAAACTATAGAGATAATAACAGCAGCTGTTTTTAATTCAACTTTTTATTAAAATTCGACGTTTCAAAAATACAATTTTCATTCTCAAGAAAAACATTAGATGAACAGACTATAGGGTAACAAGAGAGTCAAAAATATAAGTTCTGACAATATATACATGTATTAAAACGAATTTAGGAAACAGATTTTCCTCTTTACATGTTTTCAAGCGTTTAAGATCCAACTCTAATTTACGTACCCTCTTGTTCATCTTTATCATATTCCAAAAACATTTCATTGTGTTAACCCCGTAATGCTACCATAGATAATTACTAATGTTACGTTTATTAACGGGTATCAAAAATTAAAAACAGCTGCTGTTATTATCTCTATTGTTTCCATCTAGTTTAATAGTAATTTAACATTATCTATTTTCCATTTTTTAGTTTTGCAAAAGAAGCGGTGTTAAATATAAATGCATTTTTTGAATGGAAACAACGTACAAAAAACACTTACTCATTTCAATTGGCACAATTAATTGAACATGCTCATCAATCACAATTTTATTATATAAATGAAAAGAATTATAGTAGAAAAATGTCAACAAACAATGTAACATCAGATGATCCAGTATGTAATTAAGTTTAATATTTTTGTGTTATACGAGAATATGAGATCTATTATATCTATTTCAAATTTTTTTGTCACACTTTTATGATAAGCATAGATATCTCAAGTTTAATTCAATATAGTAAACAATGAAACGTAAATGATTGAATTTTTTGAGATAAGTTTCTTATCAAACACCGGAGTATACTGGAAAACTAAAGTGATATTTTTGTGTATCATAGGGAATAATGAACTTAAATAACAAGTCCGTATTTTATTTTATTTTCTTTATTTTAGCCCCAGTATAATTATTTTAGTTTGAAATGGAATTTTTCTCCATTCAGAACATTAAATGTAAATGTTTTTAAAATGAAACTAGAGACTTTTTTGTGTTTAACTTGTTTTATCGTTTGTTGTTCATTTGTCAATGTTTTCACACTGCATTAATGTATGTGCACATGTTTTATGATGAGAATACTGCAAAGCAAAGATTTTCATCGAGAGAACAAATATAGAAGCTTGGAAGTATGATTGCTAATATGTAACTCTTATCATCATAGCTATTAACCTTGCCAAAAGTAACGATCTAATTAGTCTGCGAAGTAAAAAAAATCGTTTACGAAGCACCATTCACAGACAACAAATAGTTGCATGTTGCATGTCTGCATGCTTATGGACTGTCGTATCGTCAGTTTTTATTGTTGTTATTAAGTGGTGTACGATAATGAATACGTTTTTATTGTTTCGTCTTTATATATGTTCATTTTTTTATTATAGTTAGCGGCAGAAAGATTAGACAATGATGTTAGAGATACGAACACATTACAAACACATGATTTTCGAAAGTGGAACTGGGACTTGATTTTAGCTTTATTAAAGGTATTTAATCACTTTATTCAACTGGAATTTTTCATAGCCGATAAATAACACAAAGTTTGTAATATAATTCTTATGTTTCTTTTTTTTTTACAAAGGATTTTCCCAAGCAATCTGGTCAAGTGCAGGGTGACTTATATGAACGGTACATTATTGCTAATTTTATAGTCAGAGATAGTAGCACAAGTTGTTGTTTTTTTCGTTTAGTTTTTTGGATAAAATATTTGATTTTTTTAAACCAGAACAACGTGGATTTTCCGATATAAAATTAACTGATTCATTATCGAACATAACATGTCGAAATCTTCTGGCATTTGCCGATTTACTTGTTTATCCAAAATCATCACAAAACGATATTAAAGTGGGTAGATGATGAGTTGAAATTAATCACTTATTTTCAAATGGTTTTTTTTTTGTCATATAGTATATTGCTAGTAATATAGTACGAACTCTGCTAGAAAATATAAGCAATGCCCTATATCAAGTAAGTAACTGTCTATTAGAAGTGTATATTTGTTGAAACGATCATTTTCTTTATGTCTAGTCTATAAATGCAGTCAGAGATGGCGGCATTCGTCCTTTAATTGGTGATCATGACTTAATAGTGACAAATTGTGTCTATTATTATTTGTTTATTGGAAGAATCAGTGGAACATCAATTGGAATGCAAGCGTTGGATGAATGCGATATATTTAAACGGTGCGAACTATTATTTACTATATTTATGAACGTTTCTCAATTTACTTAGTATTTGAAATACTTAAAGTAACCCGCTTTTGCCAATATCTATAATGTTGAGAAAAAAGTTAAACGTCCTTATAACCTAACAGTGTAACAGAAAAGTACGTTCTTTAATGCCATTTTTCAAGCGAAAGGATATTTATGTGCTGGATTAAAATGATTTGCGAATGTTCAAAAGAAAATGAATATGATGATACTTTGTTATTACTGTTTTTTTTTAACTACAATATGAGCGCTTAGAAATTTTCTGTTTTTCTCTTCTAGTTTATCTGAAATGGTTACATTAGACGATGAATTTGCTACCTCCGTGATTGTTGCTTTATCCTCATTTAATTACTATGTTGAAAGTCCATGTAGAGAGTTTTTATTACAAGCACTAAACTCTTCGTGCACGGTAGTTTATTACTTATATAATTCTATTCCCAATTAGAGTATTAGCTTTATTTTTAGGCATTAAGACTGTATGCAACAAGTTTACTTCGTGTTTTATTACGCTGTAATACAAAAGAATTTGGACAATGGGGCATCGATATTCTTTGCTCAAAATTAGCTGATGCAAATCAATCGGTTATTCTAGAAGCAGTTCGAATACTTGACGAAGCATTAGAGGATAAAGTAAGATCTATTTATAACTGAATTGCAATCTGAATTACATCTCTAGTGTTTCTCTAGAATATTTTTGCACATAAATATCATTTGTTTTCTTTTAGCAACTCGTCTATATGTTTTTAAACCAATGGGAATCGTTTAGATTTATGAAAAATGAACCCATATTATCTTCGTATTATCATTTAGCTGGTACGTGTATTTAAGGGAAGGGAATCTCTTCTTTAAAAAAAACTTATGCACATTGTTTAAATGAAAATTGATACTTTTCTTTAAAAATCATTTGAGATAAATTTTACCTCCAAAATCGCCTCCGTAACTGATTGTCACAATTTAATTTAAAGCACAGAAAAATGCCTTTTTTCTTGTCAATATAATGAAGTTCTAAGAACAAAGGGAAAAAAATTCAGAAATTGCTGTGGATGATTTTTAGATTTATAACTTGAATTTCAAATAAAAAAAGAACAATGCAGCATGCAATGAAGCCGATCGTAATATTTATAGAATCCTATTTCTTTCAGCGGCTAGAAACTTTGCAAAACTTTATAGAAAAATAACTGTAGGATTTTTATATTGCAATACAAAACCTGAATGAAGGCTCTTCAACTTATCTAACTGAGTTGAAAATCTTGTAAACAGTTTTTAATGAAAAAAAATCAATTTTTAAAGGGAAACTTCCCCCTTAATACAGAATCTAGTGTGCATTGGTTTTTCTTTTTTGTGTGTAGGTGGTCGTTTATGTTCACTTCGCTTTAAATTAAATGATTTGAAACATGATTCTCTACTAAAAATAATCAAAGACGAATTAGTATACTGGGACAATTATTTTAATTCTCATTACGTAACATTGATGGAAAATGTTCTATTTTCATCATACAGTGGCGGTGCATTGTTAACAAATGATTATTTTGAGCGACGGAAATCATCGACGTACGGACAAAAACGTAAAATAATCGATGCTCACGCACTACCACATTTATATCGACAGATATCTTTGAATTATGAAGGATTTCAATATTTGAGAGAAAATTCAAATTTAGAAAGGTATTGTTTGGATTTAAAACAAAATAAAACAAATTGTGTTAATCTAGCGGAGACGAAATATATTAAAGAAATTTTATGGGCTTTGGCACATGTAGCAAGCACAGATAGTGGTTATCAGTGGTTCATAGAGAAAGATTTGATACCAGATTTTTTAAGATTTGCAGAAGAATGTCAAAATTTATCTGTTAGGGGGTGAGTAGTTACCATTAACAATCGTTCATGCGTTAATCGATAGTTTTCTTTTGTATTTTAGAACCGCATTTTATGCAATTAGTTTAATTGCTTTAACACCTGATGGTGCTATAACATTAAAAAACTATGGTTGGGAAACATATCGCGTACGATCTCATTCTCTCCCATTAAATAACGCTTTAACTGATAGTTCTCTACGTCGAATGTCCACAAGACTTATCACAGTCCCATCACCATTAATCCCTGAAACACTTAGAAGTCTTTCTTTGCAAATCACCTCGCCTTCAACTTTAACAAACTCCACATCGTCTTCAACATCAACACTGAGTTCTAAACGACCATCTATATCTATCGAAATACCGGCATATCCAGCTGATTTCCTTTCACCTTCTACATCAACACTAACAGATGACGCATGTCTCGATAGTTTGGAGATTAAATCAAAAAGATCAAACACTGTACCATCAACGATTCTATTGAATACAACAAGTGAAAAAATCAGCGTGAGACATGGTAAGAATAATAATCATTGTTCAATGTTGACAGAATTACAATTGTGATTTTTATTAAATTTCAGTCGCTATTGCTGAAGAATCAAGTGTACCTCCATCTCCAGTAACAGGACATCTACCATTGCTAATGGATTCAAACGCAGTTGTTTGTTTCAATGATATGCAGGATTCGGATTCCAATAATCAAACACGGGTTGTTGTTCCAATGCGTCGTTGTCACAGTATGGCTCGTGAAATGTATACAATGTCACCATATACACATCGAGATAGTGGCATCTATAGTACAGGAACTGGTGGTACAACAACCACGAATGGTACTGGATCAATTTCAATACCATTTGATGATATTGATTTTTCGAGAAGTCCATCTTATGCACCATATCAAACTGTACCGTCCATTCAAACACAAGCATCAGAGTGCTTACCATTAGAACGATTCAGACCGCGAAGTAAATCAGCACATCACTCATTAGTTTATAGACAATCACAAAAATTACAGAAAGTACCAGGTACACTTATTGAATAAGACTAGTTAGTAAGACTAAATTTTCCGTTGTGTACATGTATTCTCATTTGGTTCTTAGAGGTGATAAAAGCACTGAAAGCACCAACAACTGCTGGAAATACAGAATCCGCCCATACCGATGAATTATTTCGTTCTCGTTTGTTACGTTGTAATTTTCTATTAAAACCGGATGCAGCCGGATATGAATACGTAAGATATGTTCAAAAAGTTAGCCATAGTACATATTCTCAAATAACAAAAACTAAAGAAATCAAACCAACAACAACAAAAGATACATTTACTATGAGACAACGAATAAATTCTTTATCAATAACTGCCGATGGTTCATCATTTTCAGCAGGAAATTATGATGTTACTCAAATGCCAATTTTACATACTCATCATCAATTTTCATCACCATTTTTCAAACGAATATATGAACATGCAGAACAAACAGACTCAAATGAAAACAGGTAATAGATAATTTTAAAAAGAAATTTATTTTTCTGCTATTTACTTTTTGCTTATTCTTGCCAGTAAATTCAAATATTCTGAATTACGAGATATGGATGATGCCGACGAAGATGATAGTACATGTTATCGAGGATTGGCTGTTCCGGTTGACATTCGGCAAGTAGTAGAGGTATGATTTTAGTATAAAACATATTTTTATATACTATTGATGTGATATTGTTGTCTAGATCTCAGATGGTTACAATTTACCGATGGATACTTGGACAGATTTAGTTCGTTCACGGACAAACACAAATGCTGAATTCAATCGATCTCGTAGTAGTACAAATGTCACAAATAATTCAAATAGTTCAGGAGGTACAAAAAAAATCCGTTCTCAACACTATTAGTTGTTGATAAAATATTTATCATTTCATTTATAGAATTTGCTCCTATCACATCGATACCAATGACTGATCATAGTTCACGTGTATGTATGATGTGTACAAATTCGCCACATGATGGTAGGTTCGACTTGATAGAATGTTTTTTTTCCCGTTTAATATTTTGATGATAATTTTTAGATCCTAATATCTCGACACAATTTGGTTTTGATGAGATTAAATCGTTAGCCAGTCGTATGATAGCTGGAATTCACATTGAAGAAGTTGAAAAGAAACTCTTGAGGTAATTTGAATAAATTAATGAAATTATAACAAGAAATCATTTTTCTTTTCTTTTTTAGCTGGAAAGAAAGTCGTCCACTAATATTTGATGATGTTTGTCTCTATTCAGAAATTTGTCGAATTTTATCGTTAAGTTGTGTTAGAGTAACAGCACAACGATTTTTACACGATCTCTTCTCGGACTGTCAATTTCAACAGGTAAGTAAATAATGCTGGATACTTCTATCAAATTTCTATATAATAGATTAGTATTTCATTTCTAGTTTCGACAACGTCGTTTGCATCAACATTCCGACACAATTGAAGAAAACGATGATGAGATATTATTTAGTTAAACATATTGTGAAATATATAAGCACCTAAATGTACCGTTTTCTGATTGTTCTTTTTATGTCGAAATGCACAAAAACTCTTGGTTTTTTCCTAACTTTTTGTGCAATGTCTATAAATCAAAGCTCTACTACATTTTCTTGGTTTTTTACATATCACTGACACAATGTCTTCCGGTTTATTTCTTATTTTTTACCTCACTTTTGATCGGTACGCGTCTTCCGTGCGTGTAACAAGTTATGTTCTTTCTTGTATCTAATAGAGTTCATTGTGCGTCATGATCATAAGCTGTTTTTTTTTTTTGTACAATGTCAAATATTATTTGTTCTCTACCGTTTTTTTCGAAATATTTTTGTAGACTAACCGGTGGATTCATTCACTCACAAAACAGTGTTTTGTTTAAATATCCTAGTTTCTTCTCTTTTTTTTTAGTACTTTAATCGAATCGACTCAATATTAAAATACTCGAGACTTACATTCTTATATTTTTATATAATAAAAGAACCTGATCTGGTGACACTATTTTGAATGTCATAGTAGTACGTACTTGTGAACTTCCAAACTTTTGTGATTTTTAGACAGTCAACTTTGTCAGTGTAAGGTTTAATTGTCTGAAAGTTAAATCTAGAGAATTTAAGATTGTAGATGCTTTGATTTTGTATTTTCTTTCAAACTAGTTCATCTATATTTCTCTGTGTTGGAAACAAGTAGCCATTGTGCTTTCTCAGATGTAATTCCAAACGCAATAATGTGTCTCCGACTCTTTTTTTTTTTTTACCATATATGTTTTTGTTCCAAATCAGATCTCAACAAATTTTCTGTAATGCACAACAAATAATATGAATTTATTTAATCGTATTTTTCTATTATAATCATGTGAACTTAAGACAGTGTGCATCTTCTCTTTTCTTTCTAAATTTAAGTTCTTTCTTTTTTCCGGATAATGTTGATACATTAGTTCATCTTTTTATTTCAGTTCTATCTATTTTTGCAGTTGATTTGTGTGTGTGTTATACAAGAAGGAGAAACAAAACTTTTTGATATGAAATAAATTTGTACTCTCAGCCAATTCTTGTGCATACGTCTTAATACCAGACTTTAAAGACATAAGGATAGCAATAACATAAAAATTGATTGAAACGAGTTTCTATCATAACAAAATGGATCATGTAGAAAATGTTAATCATTTTCATTTGTTGAAATGCCTAGATCTTTGAGTTATAGAAGAAAAAACTAATTATTCTCTGTTACAATTAAAAAATTAATATAGAAATTTGGTCCACATCATAAACATTTGTTTTAACAAATGTTTATTGGAAATCATTTATACACAACTGGTTCAAAAGATTATATTTATGCAACAATACAACTCTATAACAATGTTGTTTTAGTTTCTCCAATATATTGATATCAGACAATGCGTTTGATGAACTGACAAATATGAAAATTAGAGATATATACAGTAGTTACTTGAAGTACGGATTGAAAAAAGCTACTGTGAATAATATAAGGGTAATTCAACACATTTTTCATAGAATTGTGAATTGGTGGCTTTTAGTCTTTTTATACTGTTTGATAAGAGAGATAATTAATACGAAGATTGCGTCATCGACCATTACTCTGTTGAATACTGCTTTTTATTAAACAATTGACAAACAAACGATAAACAGAAAAAATGTTTTATAGAAGATAAGTTGAAAATCAGGCACATTGAAAACTTCCAAAAACAAAAAATTTAAAGAGACATGTAGAAAAAAACAGCAACAAATAAATCTTCTTGTTAATAAATTATTCTTTTAATAGATCAGTCGTAGTAACAAAGCCCGGATTTGCATATTCTCGATATGTTCGTCGAGATGTTTTTGAACCAAGAGTATTTGTTGTTATAGGTGTACGAGTTCGAGAATTTGGATCATAGACGTAGACGGGCTCTTCTTTCCTGGAAAAAGTTGAAAGTAGTTAAATATATGTTGATGATTGTATCTCTCCAACGATGAATCTTATGAATTACGATAGCTTGAGTCTTGAAGTTTTATGTGATCATAATTCTTACCGCATGCAGACTACTCAACGAATTTAAGCGTTTCTGACAGGATGGTTTGTAAGATCTGAGCACTTCATTTCTTGCCAGTAAAAGAGTTAAAGTAGAATAGTTTATCTTGACACCAAAATGTAGTTGAGACTCTCTCCTTTTTATGATATGAATTTAATGTGTTGAATCCTAATGGCAATTGCTGTTCAGATATTCTACGATCAATAGTCAATTATCAAATTTCAAAAGAAGTCCACAACTAAGTATGAAAACATTATTTTGATTCAAAAATTTTCTCAAAATAAAGTATTTTGTATATTTCATTATTGCTCATTATAAAATATTTGTATCTCACAAATCATCCAGTCAAAGACGCTCAAAGTCGTTCACTGATCAACATGTAGTAACAGCTATAACCACATAAAACTTGAAGATTGATTTGAGAAAACCAATATCAACATATACTTAACTGGTTGAATGAAAAAAAATGAAACGTTAAGCTCGCTGAATATATACAAATGTTAGTGGCTGCGATTAGATATAGACGAGCAGAACCACTGATAAAAGTAAAGAGCTGCCAGATGACCCGTTAGTGTGTGCAATATAAATTAAAGTGAGCAAAATTTATCTTCGATTAGGAGAAGTTTTTTTGTTCAAAGAAACCAACTTTACTGATAGTTATGTGTATTATAAACTTTGCATCCATGTTAGACTTTTAAGCGAAAATATATCTATTTACCTCTCGATTTTATAAACTCGTTTTTAAAATTTTTATTTCGTTATCCCTGCAATTGAAACGCTATTATCGTATCTGACATTTATTTTTCAATTTCGACATATATCTTGCTGTAACAAGTTGGCATAGGCTGTTTACAAGAATTTGTAACGCTCTTTGTCTTACCTTCTCGAACTTTTTTTGCAACACAAAAACAGAATCAATATAATGATTATGACAAATAGAAGAAAAGCAATGGGCACAATCCAGGCCAACTAAATGCAGAACGAGTAGAATTTAGAGTTGTGTAAAGAACATTCTCATCAATACATACATTAATTAATGAAAAACCCGATCGTTGTCGAAGTAACACGGCTAAAACAGAAATCTAATGTAAAACATCATCGTCCTATATCCATTCAATAGTACTCACCTATATCATCACACCTATTTCCCGTAAATCCATTTAAACAATTACATGTAAACCCGCCCACTTGATTTGGAATACATGTTCCAGCATTAAGACACGGATTCGTTGCACATGGATCACGAATTTCAATTTTAGCCTCATCTTCACACCGATTTCCCGTATAGTTGACTAAACAATTGCAAACAAATCCACCAACTGGTGACTGTGTGCATGTTCCGCCATTTAGACATGTTTCTGACGTGCATAGTGGCACATTAATCGCTTAAATGAAAAGACGAAAAGTGAGATGTATTTTAGAACTAAACAGAAGACGATCTAAAGACACTGCCGAGTACCTCTTTCACATGCAGTACCCGTGAAGCCTCCTAAGCACAAACACTCAAAATGGCCCTGCGATGTCACTGTGCAAGTTGAATTATTTCGACATCGATCTTGTGGGCACTCGAGGGTCTGTTCACAGTTGGTACCCTGATAAGCCTCTGTACATTGACATTTATATTGTTGTTGTTGCTGATGATCATTCGCGGGCACAAGACTGCAGACCCCGCTATTTAAGCAAGGTTTAAATTGACACAAATCAGAAGAAAAATCTAAAGCGCAGAAGCCATGAAAGCGTTAAGCAGAAAGCAGATTCTATTACTCACATTCAGCACACGATGGACCAGTTCTATTTGGGGGACATGCACAATAAGAACCAAGTTCCATAGGAATACATGTTGCTGACGGATCACATGGATTACTACCGCAAGTATCAATTAATGTACAACTTTAAGAAAAGGGAGAAGCTCAACATAGTGAAAAAGGGTTTCATTCGCTTTATGATACGTACTGTGCGCCAGAATATGGTTCCAAACATCGACAATATGAATTTTGTTCAATTGTGTTATAGCATATTCCTCTGCCGTTACAAATTGTACCCGGACAATATTTGCTGACATTACAATACGGTTCTAATAAGTGGTTGTCGTTACACAAACAAATGTATCCATCTTGTACGCTCAGACAAACACTATCGACGTACGGGCATGGGTTTGAGTAGCAGGGACCGATGGTAATATCACAATACTTGCCCGTGTAACCAGGAGGACACGAACATTCAAGTTCAGATGTATCTGTCACAAAACAACTACCACCATTCAAACAAAAGCCGTCATAACATTGAGATGAGCGATCTCGAGCTAGAAAGACAAGTTAAAAGTTCATTATCAAGTAGTCCTTGGAAAACAGATATATTACATTTTCTCGTTTGACAATGCTTTCCCGAATAGTTATTTGAACATAAACACATATAATCCGAAGTGCCATTTTTCGCTATACATTGTCCATTATTTTGACATGGCGACGATTGTAGACAAACATTAATTGGCTCTACAAATTTAAGAGAGGATTTCTCTAAAAGTCAGACAAAATCCGTACTGATCAAGCTCAGATTTGGTTGATATACAGTAGAACGTGCTGAATTGGGTATGACATACAAATATTACGGCAACGGGTGCATTCCGATCTTTTATATTTCGGTATTTTGGCTATAATGGAGATACGGACTGTTAGCTTCTCAAGCGCGTCATACCAGAGATGTTTCGTTATCATTTGTCAAAATATGATGTATATCTTGTTCTATCCGCTACTTAAATCTTGTATGAATAATGTTGTTAGATAGGAAATGTCTTCTGAAAATTGTTGGGATTAAATATTCTGGAACCAAATTATGATTACTTTTTGAAAGAAGACTCAAAATGTCTAAAGTAAGAGTTAGTAATAAAATACTTAAACGTAAATCAAAACGACCAACGCGATTTATCAAAAACTTTCTGTAGGTTACTGGACTTAGTTCCATTATAAAACGTTCCAGATCAATCACAACGTTTGCAAGGAAGCAATAAAGATCCTCTATACTTTTGTGTCTTAGCTAAAATTAGTTTTTGTTCTCGATTTTGATTTGATCTCAGCGTTCTTATAATAAGATAAATATTATTTTCAGAACTTAGGTATGAAAACGAATCGAATAATGTTTGTTTTGTTCAAGTTCTTGTTGTACGCCCGGTAAAATCATTGACTAGAAGATCACATATCATAACCTTCATTTTAAACCGCGGTTATCTTAAACATGAAACAATGCGCTATAGCCAGTATCTGTTCTTAAAAAATTCCATAAAAGAATCTTCGACAGATGTGCTCGACAAAAAAGTACGAGAAATAAAAAAGAAAACATCATTTTTGACATTCTCTTTCAATCAACCTTTCGTCTTTCAGAACACCTTGTTTATGTTTTCGTTCAAAACATATGATATATTTGTGTTGACAAACTTGTCACATACGATTATATTTTTGGTGACTTAGCTTATCTATAGCATCCACGATAGTTAAGATAGCTCATCGGATACTAAATAGACCAAAACAATTACTGAAAAAAACATTTTTACGTCTTGGCTGCTGAAGAAACATTAGGTAGCCTGTAACTAGGAAGGAAAATAATATAGATCAAAACATGTTCAGATTATATCGATCCATCAGATCTTAGTACTCAGCCTTGTCTAGCCTTTTGATAAACTCACTTTTAACAAGTATAATTTAATCTACGCCAACAATACCTTTTCACCATTCTTACTTACCGCACCTTCCAACAGTCTGTGGTTTCTGTTTATCAATCGTCCATGTGTAACCCTCAGCGCATGCACACCGCTTTTCTTTGAAACAAATTAAATCCAATGTTGTATTACAATCTTGATTTTTAACACACGCACTATGAAATACACCATAACGGCTGATCATTGGAACAATTTCTAAAAAAATGAGCAATAGAGTTCCATGTAGTTTTAATTAGGTTGTTGCACACGCTTACCATTACAATTCGTTCCCGTATGTACTTGATCACAAACGCATTTATAACTAATATCGTTTACTCTGTAGCATGTACTATTAAAAGCACACGGATTTTGTTGGCATGGATCATTTCCCTCACATTGTGAGCCAATTTTGTTTGGTGGACATTTACATGAGAAGTTCGTTCCATTTCTCAAACATGTTCCCCCGAAATAACATGGCTGTGAAGCACATGGGGAAATAAATTCACACATATCACCATAGAATCTCGACTCATCACATCGACATATTGTTCTGTTTTGATTAATTATACATCGACCACCATGTCGACATCCACATTTCAACTCACATCGTTCACCATAAAACTGAGACGGACAATTACAAGTTAATGTCGTTAATCGACCCGCATCACATATACCGCCGTTCAAACAAGAATTGTTTTGACACAAACATCCAAATGAACCATTGAAATACGATAAACATTGACCATTTTGACAGGTATTCGATAGTCGGCACGGATCAACTAGGAAAAAGAAAAATGTCCTTTTAGGTAGATCAACTAAAAAAGTAGAAAAATGTGCTTACTCACGGTGTTCACAATTCAATCCTATTCTGCCTTGTTTACATTTACACATGTATGTTCCATTATTCACGGCGGTACTACTGCAAATGCCATCCGCATGACAAGGATTACTTTTACATGGTGATGGAGAAAAAGTCGAACCACTTAGCAGTGCTGAAGGTAAACTAACATATTGAGAATCTACAATAGGAAGAGACAAGTCAGCATTATTAATTGATTGTGATGTTCTTCATACACAATAAAAATTGCATATTTTCTCCAAAATGACATTGTATCTAAATTTAGTTATTCCATCGAAAACACTTACTTTTACTGGTTACAGCTAAATCTGTTTGATAAACGGAATTACATAATTCTCCTCCGCATGTTTCATTTCGACTACCACTACACAACCATGTACAACATGAGGATTGTTTTTGAAAATTAGAATGGGTATACGCCACGCCACAATAACACTCGGATCTAAAAGAACTATGCCTAAAAACTGAACGATGTTTATTTTTGATTTTTATCTACCTAAATTGTAATCCCGCATAAGGAAAACCATGCTCGGCACAATAATTTGTGCACAACTGCACTGTCATAGAGTTTGAAACAAACGTTCGCGATAGGCCATTTAAAATTCGTTGATGACGTTTGTCTTTATAACATCCAATATACGTTACGGTTTGAATACCTCAAATAACACGCACAATTATTTGTCATAGCAGTATTAGACGATAATGAGAGTTCAACGGCTTGTCCAAACGTAACGCTGTTACGTTTTTGACACACTTTTTCCAATTATCTCGGAAAGTTTAAGAGCTAGAAAGTTCGTTCAAACGCCATTCGACGCAGTTCATCATCGTACTCTATGTATGCTATAAAGTTTTTTGGTTGAAATCTGGAGTTTCGGGAAAGGTTTTTTCATCGCGTAACGCTGTTACATAAAAAGACCCTAAATTCGGAGCGCTCCTGCTAAAGTTCTAATTTCCTGAGAAAGTCGTCCTATGAAATGTTCCTAGAGCAAATTTTGTAGAGCATCGAACGAGCTTTTCAGCGGTAAAAAAAATTTTCTCCTAACTATTTTTACTCGCGTAAAAAAGGCGAAAAACAAACGTAACGCTGTTACACATTTTTTTGTCACACCATTTTAGGGCACCCAGCATTCTTCAAACAACTTCATCGATATAGCTTGAGTACTTCTAGCCTTCCTGAAGATACGCTACTTGCAAACAAAGTTTCAAAAGGTGCCTCAGGCTTTTTAATCGAGTCGGGAGTTCAAACTTGCAAGCAGTCCTTGTGCCTCGACTGAGAAATATTTCTCAAAACAAAACGAGCCATTTTGTAGAGAATTTAATTCTTTATTCGACAGTAAATTTTTAAAATTATTTTACGAAAATCTCCAGGTCAGAAAAAATTAAAATTAAAGTTTTCAAAAATTTTAAATTTAATTTTTTTAATTGAAAATTCAGCTTTTTTTCAAAATAAAGGCCGAATTCGTGATCAGCATGAAAAACTACGTCTGGTGATGGGCTCCTGTCAATTGTCCGATGAAAAAAACAATAAAACTTGATCAGCGAAGTGTCGCATTACGTGGACAAGCGGTCAAACGGAGCATTACACTATGACTAAGTGTGTCTGCTTTTTGTAAAAGTTTTAATTTGCTCAGGTTGACTTTGAAGTTAGCAAAACTGAGAAGATTATTGTTTCAGAAGTTCGTGTCTAAATACTAATAGCAGTTTTCTTTTGAACTTTTTATTTCAAATATAAGATGACTAATGTGAAGTCGCAATGGTATCAGTAGAAGAAATTAAAACATCCATGACTTGATATAAATGACTGAAGAATGAGATTAGAAATGGATACTCTTTTAAATAAATATAATTGCTAGATGTGAGATAAGAAGAACCATGTAACTCTGTTTTAATATTATTCAGTTACAATATTTCATGATTGTTATATAAGCGATGATGTACGTCACCATAGTTTTCTGTAATCTCAGCGTAAAGTTCATATCCTTATTCATCCCCTTTAGATGTAAACGTCACACGAATGATTTGAAAAGGTTATTTATGACATTGTCTCTATACGTGTACGTGCGCAAACAAACAAATGAATAATGTGTCGAGAGTGACCAACCCACTCACACAGGTACAAAAGTAAAGTAAATTATTATTATTTCATAATGTGTACCAGCCTTGGTGTTAATTGAAATTATGCATTCGATAAGATTAAAGGAAAATTCTTTTGAGATTGATGAATATGTGAAGGCCAAGGAAATGGTTCATTTTAACATAGTTCAATAGAGAAGTGTAAGAAAAAATTATCAAATCAGATTATTCGCCTTATTAATAAAGAAAATGATACAACACCGATGTAGTTTTTAGAGAACAGGAAATAGCCATCGTTATTCTCCTTTTCCGTTAAACGCACATTTACAACGAAATAATTCTATTATTCTATTGAGCACGGCTTGCTTATAAACGAAATCAGTATATATAAAAGCTGTACTTTATTTTCTTCACTAACATATCTCTCATTGAATATTAAGATATATCTATCTATTTAACGGAAGTTATTCGTTTTATTTGTTGACTCATTACAATCGTGGCACGAGAATACAGATCAAAAGACGATATCTACTCTTAGATACTAAAGTTAAATAAATCTCTCTACACATACACACACACACACACACACACACACACACACACTTATTGTGTCAATATTTAATGAACATAATTGTTTTTTGTTTATTTCCGGATTTCATGTTGTGTCTCTCACCTCCTCCCACTCTAACTCTGTACCTGTTATCATTGTTTAAAGCATGTTTCTCTTTTTGCTATTCATAATGTAAACTATTTAACGTTAAATTTCACAGACATAAGACGGATTAATGTATCTCGTTCTCTCTTTTACTCTCTCTTCATCATCAGTATCATCATCATGATTGGTCAAAAGTTGAAGACAAAATTTTTTTATACATATGATTATCTCATAGAGATAACAAAACAAACGAAGAACGATTTCATGTACATGTTAAAAACAATAATTATTCCTTTTGTCCTCCGTTAGACTGTCTCAGCTCTTACAGCTAACTGAAATAAACATTTTTAGCATTTGCTGAAAGAGTTTAATACATCAGTATTGTTTTTTATAATATAATTGATTAATGACAAAATTAATTGTAATTAATTATACATAAAACAATCATTTTATTCTATACTCTTTCTACATTATATTGATTACATGCATCGATTACAATTGTAATCATCATCAAAACTTCTGAAAAACTTCTTTTACGAAACTATAAAAATAATATCACGTTTTAAAAATTTAGAAAGACGTGCTTGATCTGGCGATGGTGATGATTGAAAACGCTCTGCTCTGTATTTAAATAAAATTAAAACAAAATGGTTATTGTCTGTATACAATTGATTGTAAAACGCGCTTACTGTTAAAAACTGACATTTTGATTATCGATCAGACTAAACTGTATCATTTTCTATTTGATGATAAATTATTGCGAATGACTTAAATGGCTTTCACATCTAATAAAGTTTCATAGAAGAATACACACTCTTTCTAACAAAGTACCACTTCAAACGACTTTTACATATATCACGACTTTAAAACTGTATATTGAAATGGTTATCTGCATTTTCTCTTTTTATTTCTATCTAAAAGGAAAAGTGATGCGTTTTCTCGAACTTCTGAGCGCACTTCATTCGCCCTATCAGACCGATAATTTAATTCAAGTAAAAAAACTCGTCGGATACTCTACCTTGAATGAATTGTATCAAAAATATAAAACATAATAATAGTCGATGATATGAATTCGAGTATAAAAACGTCATTGTGATATGTACAGTTTTAAAGTAGAAGTGATTTCAGAAGTAGAAATGATAATCACCGAAATTTCAGGTTAAAAATTGCATAATACAAAAGGAAAAATAGTAAGTTTCATTCGATAACAAACATATTTCTCAATTAACAAGTTCAAAATAATTTTTTTTGTTTTAAATGACGTTTATAGTATCTTTACATTCTTTTCCTTTTTCGTTTTTTTTCTTCTCTTCCTTCAATCTTTTTTTTTCTTCTTTCCGGTAGTATCTTTCTCTTTTGTTGCTGTTAATCTCAAAATTTGTCAATGGCTCATGCACAATTATTTTAAATATGTGATATGAAACAATATATTCTTACAGCTATAAACTAGTGGGCAGTAACTAAAATTCACGTTATTGTTAATGAAAATTAAGTGACTATAGTTTAGTAGAATACATGATAAAATAATTATATTGTGTGGACAAAAAAGATTAATTAAGAACTAAGAAGACCTTCTAGCAGACAATGTTCTTCCATTTCAGGGTGATAAAACAGATTCGAGCTTTACCACTCTTGATAACATTTGAATTACAGTCTAGTGGAGGACGAAATCGAACCTTTAAGGTGCTTCTTTCCATCTTTGGCTCTTCGTGAAGTCGCTGCCAAAAATGATAAGGAGTTCGTATTTTCAGGATAGATGAAAAGGTCTTTTGAATTTTTGGGCCTTTTCTCTTTTGTTTCAACTCTTTATCTATCATCGTTCCTGAAATTTTCCTGAAAAAACCCGGTTTTTCATTAGTATCCATTACGACCGTTTGAAAAACTCATTCGAACGAGCTCGAACTTTTACCATAAGTATTTCAGACCTTCTTTCAGAAGTAATGGATACTAATTTCGGGAAGGATGACAGATAAAAAGTTGAAACAAAAGAGAAAAGGAACTCAAAAGACTTTTTCACCTATTCTGAAAATACGAACTCCTTATCATTTTTGGCAGCGACTTTACGACGAGCCAAAAATGGAAAGGAGCATCCTTAATGTCGAGAGTACACTAGATCTCTCTAACGCAGGTTCATTCATAAAGCATAATAGCTGGTGTTTTGAGATATTGTGTAGATTATAACTTTTACAAAATACTGATCATCAAAAATAATTCATAATTTAGTGCAGAGCCGTTGTTCTGACCCACCATTTTAGAAATATTATCTAATATTTATAGATTATTTATACGAAATTCCGAGGCAAACTAGAAGAATGTACATCACAAATATACAAGAATATAAATATGCGGTCTAGCGAAGAAAATAGACGATTCAGCAACCCCAATACGTATTTGCTACATACTGGTCCTAACCTCTTTGTAGTAGTATGCTTTTAAAAAATATCAGAGGATAGTTACCATAGTTTACAGAAAGTTGCGCGTAACCCTTATCCAAAATGAAGTATCTATGGTATCTAATTATAAATATATCCTTAGAAAGTTTTAAAAGAACCTCGTGGCATAGTACTCTGACCGATATTATCGTTGTTTGGTAGTGCATAGTGGAAAACAGCCTATTTGACAGTACGCGTATTTCCAATTTACAAGACTTAAACACCAAAACAATAAAAGCATTCGAAACTCTGTTTATACGCTATTTTTTTATACGATATCTAATTCATGTATAAAGCTTTTTTTCTAAGATTCTGTAGGAACAAATTTCGATATGAGATTTTTGATGCCTGGATACCCCTCAGGAATTTTGGAAAACCTTTTTTCTCACATTTTTACAAAAGTACATGGACTAGATGCAGTGTTTACACTGATCATTTCATGGAGTATCATGTTTAAAGTTGAAAAGCATTGCGTTTCCATAGAGAAAATTATATTTTACTGCGCAGAGGACGCAAGCGTGCATTCTGAAAGTTTCATCCTATCCTCAGTACTAAAAAGCATTTCTGACATTTTGAAACAGCCTAAAATATGCCGAAATATTTGTTCTATCAAGTCCATGTAAAACTTGATCTCACAATGCTAAGATTATATGAGTTATTTCACATAAATGAGCAAAAACAGTGAACAAATTATGTATTCACGTTATTGTGAACATAATGAGCCTTTATTTGGTCTTAAGGAAATAGGTAAAATATACAGAACGATCCAAGTTTTCATCTTCTATTAAAATATATCCGTAAGTTGAAAGAAAAGAAGTACTCTATGGTTAAATTTAAAAATATCGAAAAGCGAGATGGTGTTTGCTAAATTTCGCCATCGAAACAAAATTTAACGTAATAATGAATCCGATATCCCGTACTGGCATAAAAAACGGGATCGACTCAAATACGTTTCATGAGTTTTCTACAGCTTCAATTTTTTGGCCGAAAACTTTGCTCTCGATCGCTGTCAGAAAAATCCAAAAACAAAAATTTTTCTTTTCTGCTTTTTTCCTTTTATTATTATTAATTTTTAGCGAGTAAAGTTTATAGATGGATCAGATGGATGATAAAGTGTTACATCAAGTATCCGAGTTGGAATATTGATTTACGTGATATCTGTAAGCGACCGTTTATTCTAATATTAACACTCATAGTCATTACTGCAAAAGACTTTTTATACGCAAGTTTTCAAGGTTCGACTTAATATTTCTCGAGATCAGAATCCTTCAAAACGGTGCGCACCAAAAGGGTGTCTTATTCAAATTAAGAATAAAAAAGTGAACTTTTTTCCTATGTATTTTTGCATTGTCTAAATTCGAGATGGAGCCATATCATAATTTTTCGCGGTCATAGAAATTACATGGGAAAATCTCACTTTTTTATTCTTAATTTGAATAAGACACCCTTTTGGTGCGCACCGTTTTGAAGGATTCTGATCTCGAGAAATATTAAGTCGAACCTTGAAAATTTGCGTATAAAAAGTCGATTTTGCGGTAATGCCAGTTGTAACACGCATGTATTTTAACACTTTCGCTTTCTTACTGTTAAGTAGAGGGAATTCTGTCGTATTTGGCGAAGAAAACGCTTCAAATTTTTTTCTATTTATTGGCATAATTTTGCTGCTCTTTTTTCAATACTTTAATTATTCTTCGATGTAAACCTCAATTAAGATCAACTTGATCAGACAAATAAGCCATACCAAAGCGCTAGTGGTATTTCTAGACAGATTAAATTGATACACATTAATTTCATCAAAAATACAGTATTCATAGTACGTATCCGATCCCTTATACGTGGATCCATATGTGCTACTCTACCTTAAAATTATATGTCAATCCAGCTCTCGCCCTATGCTAATTGCTCATTTCACTTGTGACTCATTTGAGTACACGATTCCTGAGGTAATTTGAATCTCATTTTTTCCGGGTATATTGAGGATCTTTCAGCCGCTGTAGCTCACTCTAATCACAACTATAGCTATAAAGGCAAATTATTTGTGACACAGTTTTGTAAAACTCTATATCCGTCTATACTGAAGGAATTGAAACTGAAGTTATATGCAAAGCCCATGGCTTTTACCGGTTTTAAATCGTAATACTGTAAGAATTTTGATTTCAAATTTCACTTCTATGTATACAATGCCAAGATATCAAAAAAAGTAGGAAATTTCAAAATCATTCACACAGGTTGTGGAAAACGGTGTAATTAGCTGCATATTAAATATCCATTTATTGTATTCCAATGTTTGTTAAAAATGGAAATTTTTAGACTATTAAGACAGTTTCTGGCTTGTTTTCAGGCATAACGTTTTAATGTCTGAAAGTGGCAGTTTTATTACGATTCAAAAATGGATATGTGATAATGTTCATTTTGAGATCGTTATTACACCCTTATAGATCGTTAAAGGTCTGGTTTTTCAATGTTTCATGAAGGCGGTCGATGTGAATTTCAGTTTCAAGCACATACAATTAAATGTCTATTTTAGAGTATGATTCATGGTACGAAAACGGTAACTGTTAACAGATAGCTCTTTACAAAGTTTTTAGCCTGTTGAAAGTCTATTATTTAGTCATAAAGTTAACAGACTATCAGGGGCGTACCTAGGATCTCACAGCAGAGGGATGGTCCTGCCAAAACTATTTTTCGTTCTTCCAAAATAGACGCTTTCTCAAGCACGAAAGGCATAAAATAGAAACTTTTCTGAAAGCAGGGGGTTGATAACCACCCACAGACTCCCCGTAAGTACGCTCCTGCAGGCTACGCACATGTTATTAAATGTCAGTTTTCGTTGATATAAGCACAGGATGTCGAAAACAGTCATATTAAAGGTCCATTAAATGTTTTTTAATAAATCATTAACCTGTTGTCAAATGACATTTTTTAGCCGTATGACATAATTTTTTCACCGTTTTTAGATATTTTAACTATTAACGTATTAATCTATAAAAGTGGCATTTTTTAACGCGTAAACAACTGTCAGAAACCATGGTTTTTGACAGTTGCGACATTAAATGGTACTAGCAGACAGTTGATAGTACAATTTAATGGCCGTTTTCACATTATTATTGGCACTTAGCGGTCAATTATTTGGACTTTCTCTAATTGATTCCTTTTTTCTGTAACCTCTCAGACCGAGTAACGTCTGACTTCTTAGTATTTTTTGGCTCTTTAAGTTCGCGGCCTTACCACTGACACCAGATCCAGAACCCCCGGTTACTTTCTCGATACAACAAACTTCAATTAAAAAGTTAAATTCCTGTTTTTTATGATCATAACAGGCAAAAAGGCGACAGTAAGCGATGACCCTTAACTTTCTTTTTTTTGAAAATTTCGGGTTAGTCACTAACGTTGACCTTTTTTCCTCTCTACTTAAGGTATGGAAAGACCACTGTCGGTCCATGGAAAAATTATTCCGAACACGGTTTTTCCTCGGCCATAAGTTCTGAATTGACGCGTTTTTAGGGGTGCCAGAACAGCGAAATCTGACCTTACCTAATACTATCAAGCGT